ATTTTTTTTTGCACTTCACTTCTTCTAGAACTGAAAGCTGAATAAATAAAAATATTATACTTGTGTATAGCTACTAAACCTCTCGTTATACGAGTTAAGAGATGCTTAAGGGATTCCATCCGTTCTTCTTTCATCTCAGTTCATAATGAAGAAACTAAACCATGCTTATATGCACGTAATTTCTTATTCCTTTGTATACTAAAAGCAAATGAATGGCATGCATAAACTAAGAAAAAAAATAAGAAAAACGAAAAGCATCAAAATAAATGAGCCATTTAACATAAAACAGATATTTTTTAACAAAACAAAAAAAAAATCAAGCAGAAAAAGAACAAACTAGAAAACATCATGATGATTGATTATGTTGTTGACGATTAGAAAATAGAAAAATATCCTTTTTTTCAAGAGCATCTTCTTCAAGTTTATTAAATGTTGGTTTTAATGTTGATTGTTTTATTAATAATAAATCCTGATTTATTTCAAGAAATTTTAATGTTTTTTCACTTAATTCAATTCGATATTCAATTAAATGATTTTCTTCTTTTTCTTCTTTTTCTTTTTCTTCTTCTTTCTCTTTTTTTTTATCAAATTTTTCATGATTAATTAATATATATTTATTAATTAAATTTATATTTGGATAAAATCGAATATGTTGAACATTAATTGATTGTTTTGGATATTTTTCTTTATCATAATTAAAACGTTCTAATTTATTACTTGTATCAATTTGAAAACTATGTTCATCATTATTTAATTTCGCCCATAATTGTATAGGTTGTTTATCTAAATTTATACAATATTCAATACCACAATCAGAATTTTCTATTGGTTCTTTTAATTGTGAACTAGATGATTTTATATTTGTACGATTTGATTGATAAAGACGAGAAAAATAACTTGACTTTTTTTCTTGTTGTGTTAAACGATATTGATCTAATAATGATGGTTGACATCGTAAACAACCCGAACATGGATTTGAATATATAATTGATGATTGTTGAGATGATAATATTGAATTTAATGAATCTTTTATAGAAAGATATATTGATGATATAGGATATTTTAAATAACTAAAATACCATAAACGTTTTTGAAGTTGTTCAAGACGTGTATAATGACCAAAATCAAATGTACTTGCATAACTGAAGATAGTAGGAAAAAAACAAACTTTTAAACTATTCAAAATTTTAATAAAATAATTGTTTTCTATTGTCCAAAAATATATGTAACAAATTTTGTTTTAATAACAAACGATCAAAAAGTAATTAGTAGAACCCATC